AGGCAGACCAGAAACAAGCACGAGTGGCTGATAAAACAACCACGAACTGGGATCTGAGCAAGGAGGACACCCAGTGGGGGCCGGGATGGAGAGAGCCGGCCTGGGGGTCTGCTGGGTGGACCGTCGGTCCAGAGAGCCTGGAGGGGCGGTGCTTGATGAAGCCAGAGCCCCTGGAGGGCTTCCGTCCTTCCAGAAGGAGCTCACCACAGTCCAGCCTGACACAGCCTCCCCTGCACATCCCGGAGGGAGAGTGGCCCAGGGTGACTCTGGGGTTGGGGACAGGGCAGGCCATGCAGGGCCCTGCGCACTTACTAAGGACTGTGGCATTTGCTATAAGTGCCATGGGAAGTCCTGGCAGTGTTTTAAACAGGAATGTTGCTCTTGCTGCTGTGAATTGTTTGTTGGGGGCTGGTCAGTGGGAACGCCCTTGGGGGAGGGCGTTTGTCATCCAGGCCAGCGGGTAGGTGGTAGCATGATTTGGAGGGGGAGGTAGCAGGGCATGCAGATGGGCTGGGTGTGGTGGCAAGAAGAACAGTTGACAGGTGGCCCATGGGGAGGACCAGAGGAGGAGGGAGCACAAACTGGGGACAGTAGAGAGCCTGGACTTCCAGTTTAGGCACGTTTGGTGTAAAGTATGGGCCTTTCTCATGTCCTGGGACAATGGAAGTGAGACTAATGGATGCAGCCACTGTGGATGGAGCTGACTGGCCCACTTTGTCCCACCTGCCATGTACTCCCTGTGCCATGCACTCCTACAGGGAAGCCCAGCGCAGTGCATGGGGGCGGGGAGCCAGCAGAGGAAGTTGCTGTGGTCACCCCCTTAGTCAGGTCCCTGCCAGGTTTCAGATCTGAGTTCAGGAATAGCAACTAGATCCTCCCCTGACTCCGTGTGCAGCAGAGCAACTCTGCTGAAGTAGCATGAGTGTGGTCACTCTGTGCTTAGGGTCCTTCACTGGCTCCTTACGACCTTGGACAAGCCCCAGCCTTGTGACGGTGTCTAGACCCCATGCCCCACCGATGCCTCCAGCCCCTCTGTCTCTCTCTCTCTCTCCCTTCCCACATCCTCCTTATTTATTTCCTCCTCTCCACCTTTCTCTCTCTCTCTTGCACAGTTGCAGTAAACTCAGGGTGTTCTCTCTGGCCACAGGGCCTTTGCACGAGATGTTCTTACCATAACTCCCCAACAGGGCTGATGACATTTTGCCCAGGCCCATCTCAGACGGCCTATCCAGGGAACCTCCCAGATCCTGCCTCCCCTGAGGTCTGGACTCAGGTTCCCTCTTGTGGGCCCAGCTCTCCTCCAAGTCTGAGTCCATACCTGTTGCCTGCTCCTCTTACTACATGGTCAACTCCTGGGGAGAGAATACATCTCGTCTTTATCTTTTCAGTTTTCAGGATCAGTATGGTGCTCAAATGTCCATTGAATAAATGGTTTCCCTTACTGCCCTGTGTTGCAATCCCCTCTCTAAAAGGAGTGTATGCTTTTCTGGTCATCGCTGAGGAGAGGGGGCTTGTTTGTGGGGAGAAAGGGAGTCCCTTTGGGGGAACTGGCCATCTCTGAGCCAGTGAATGGCACCCTGCATCTGAGGGAACCAGGTGAATGGCAGTGGCCTGGTGGGGAGGGAAGGGAGAGGATGGTGTGGGTTTTGCCTGGCATCCCACCATCAGCACACAGAACCCTCCACCCCCAGCCCGGCACCGAGACTTACCCCAGCGACCCCTTCTCTTCCTCCTCTGGGTCCTCCCCACCCCCCTGCCCCCAGTTCCATCTGCCTTTGGGGTTTTTGTCTTTTGCCACATAGCTTCCGGTTTCCCCTTCAGGGTTATTCTGGCTGGACGTTTTCATCCTGCTTCACCCACCGTGACACCTGAGCATCGCGGAGCTGGAGGGAGGTTGTGTGTTTGGAGGAGGCAAGAGGTGGGGGAAGAGCACCACGTGACTGCAGCCGCGTGCGTGTGCCGTGTGTAGCAGAGCCACGTCCCTGTGGCCCAGATGGCACAGGAGGGGATGCTACTACAGCAGGTGCACTTGGATTGGCCCTGGGCCAAGGGGCAAAGGTCACTCTCATGGTAAGCCTTTTAGAGCAGATGACCCCGGGCTGCGTCCTTCAACTTCTGAGCGCCTGTTTGCTCACCTGCTGAATGGGATGACGCCTCTTGGGGATGTTGTGAGGATCGCGTGAGCAAGGTCTGGAAAAGCTCCCCATAAACGGATCCAACGTAAGGGCGTCGCGCCTTGGCTGAGGGTGCTGCTAGTTAATACACGGACATAATATGCACTTGTCGATAGGGATTGAATCTTTGCAGTAGCACTGCCTGCCTTCCCTCCCTTCACAGTAAGTGGCCTGTGCCAACGCTTTCAAACACCAGTGGTCACAGCCACTAAACGAGGCCATGTGGAGGACGCTTGTAAATCAGAACCAAACAGATGAAGGGCAGCCGGCTACTTCCCGGTTTCTGCACGAAGCAGTTGGCCAAGCCGGCTAGGGTTTGCTGTGGGGATTTATTTCCAAATGGCCTGGGAGGCACAATCACTTTAAACATACCTCTAGGAAGAGAAAATTCCATTCCGCCTAGTCAGCATGATGCAGCCATTAAAACGCTGGTTTTCCTCCTCTTTGAGCACGGTCCCTGCATCTTCTATGGCTTCACCCACGGAAGGCTGCGAGGCTTTGCTGAAATAAAACGATTTTCAGTAAGAGTGGGTGTGGAGCTTCAAGCTACTCCTGCTGAATCAGGGCCCCTTGGTCGACCTGGCCTCGTTGTCATGCCAGCCGGGGCCACCTGCTCCTCCGAGACCAGTTGGGTGCCCAAAAAATGGTTAGTGAAAGTGAATATGGTGTGGTCACTTTGCTTTCTAGGCTTCTGTGTCTTCTGTAGAATGGAAACAATTTGAGTATGGCTTGGACAGCCCTCGGCCTGCCTGTCGGTGGATCTCTGTTCACAATATCTCAGTGGAAGTTACCGAGCTTCAGGGACCTCCCTGAGGGCCAGACACTGTGCCAGGTGCATTACTTGAGTGACTTCATTTATTTTACTTTGCGTGACAACCTGTCAGGGTAGGTATTTCTGTGCCCATTTTACAAGAACACTAGAGCTAGGAGAGATGAAGAAATGTATCTAAGGTTGTGCAGTTAGCTAGACATAAATTTAGGGTGTCAGCTCTCTGAATCTGTCAGTCTGACTCTAAAACTTGGGCTATCTTGTGTACATTATCTGTCTTAGTTTTGCTGTAGAAAATTTGTTGTTCAGAAACTGTTTTAAGACAGTAGTAAAAGAAGGCTGGGGGAGTGGTAATTGAATGTGAAGAACATGTATAGCTTTTACTAGAAATTACTATACGGAGGCAGTAGAGGCAAAGCTTGTCTCCTGTAAATCTCTATGTGCTGTCAGCCTCCCTTAAGTTACTGCATGGAATTGTAAGCCTCCGCTCTTTAAAATATCTTAATGTACATAGACACACGCAGTGTCATGTCATGTCTTGCATCACTTAATGACAGGGATATATTCTGAGAAATTCATTGTTTGGAGCTTTTGTTGTTGTCTGAGCATCATAGAGTGTACTCAGACTAACCTAGATGGCGTAGCCTACTGCATACCTAGGCTATATGGGATGGGCAATTATGCCCAGGCTACAAACCTGCACAGCATGTCACTCTGCTGAATACCGTGGCAATTGCAATATGGTGGTGTTTGTGTATCTAAACATGGAAAGCGTACAGTAAAAATATGCTATTACGATCTAATATGTGGTCTGTTGTTGACTGAAACATCATTATGTAGTGTGTGAATGTGTGTGTATATGTTTTTTACTCCACAGGGCTGCATTAGCTATAAATTGTGGGTTTTTATCCCATTGGTGAAATGATCTAAACAAGCCCTTCAGATTTACTGACTAATGAATTTAAAGTTAACCACACAGGGAATGCTTAGTAAAAATTGCTGTCTTTCCTGCATGACGTTTTTCAGGCTTCAAGTGGTGAAAGCGTTTTATGTACACAGTCAGTAACTTACAAGAAAACGAAAGCCAGGAAACCATAGCTAAACCGCACGCTAAAAATTCTGCATGTCTTTGCATCTCCTCCCCTCCCTTCATGTGTCCTTTTCTCTTTTGATCGGTATTTAGCGAGCGTGCCAGACCCTGCGAGGATGCCGGTCCTGCCTGAGCGAGGGGGAGCAGGCTGCATGGGGCAGCAGGAGGTGGCCGGGCAGGGGGCTCTCTTGGGGGTGGCGTGCTGGAGCCTTCCTTTTAAAACACAATATTTATGTATATTCATGTATTTGTTTATGCATTTATGTACTTATGTGTAATATCTATGTTTATTTTTAAATATCTACGTGTGTGTACATGTGTGCATATATGTACATGTGCACATACAGATAGCTGTAGACATGCTTTCTTCCCCCCAGACAGAGACGGACCCCAGACTGGCAGGCGGTGCTCCTAATTTATGTGTATAGACGTGTATATTTTAATTTTTAAAATTTACATGTTGATATGTATTTTTGTAGGTTATATATTTCTAAAGATATAGATTTGTGTGTGCATATTGTATTTCTAGCTGTGTCTTTGCTTGTGCCTTGTGTACACGAGACACCCGGATGGACAGACCGCACCACGCCAGCTCTGGGGATCAGGGACTCCCCAGGAATCCGCTGTTCTTGCCTTCCATGGGGACGCACCGAGTGCTGTCCCTCTGAGCTGGCGTGGAGACCCAGGCCGCACCTTGCACGCGGGTGTCGGGGTCGTTTGTTCCCTTCGCGTTTGGGAGGAGACCCGCTCCCACGCTGGGAGGGGGCAGAGAGCTGGCTGCAGACACCCAGGGGACCCCGCAGTAGCCAGCGGCTGGAGTGCCCTGAATAGGGGAGGGGAGGCCGTGGCGTTGGGTGCGGTGGGAGCCTCGGGCAAGGGCCCAGCTTGGGGGAAACGTAGCAGTTCCCTGTGGACTCGGGATGTGCCGGTGGTTGTCCTAAGAGCTCCGCCTGTCTTTGGGTTTCAGGTCCCACCCGAAAGATGCCCCCCAGCGCCAGTGCCGTGGACTTCTTCCAGCTCTTTGTCCCCGACAACGTCCTCAAGAACATGGTGGTGCAGACAAACATGTACGCCAAGAAGTTCCAGGAGCGGTTCGGGAGCGACGGGGCCTGGGTGGAGGTGACGCTGGCGGAGATGAAGGCGTTCCTGGGCTACATGATCTCCACCAGCATCTCCCACTGTGAGTCCGTCCTCAGCATCTGGAGCGGCGGCTTCTACAGCAACCAGAGCCTCGCCCTCGTCATGAGCCAGGCCCGCTTCGAGAAGATCCTCAAGTACTTCCACGTCGTGGCCTTCCGCTCCAGCCAGTCCACGCACGGGCTCTACAAAGTCCAGCCCTTCCTCGACTCCCTGCAGCACAGCTTCGACTCTTCCTTCAGGCCTTCCCAGACCCAGGTGAGGCCAGCTGCAGGGGCCGAGCTCGGCAGGGTGCCCCTGGGCGCTCTCTCCCCTGGGTCACCATGGCTGGTGGCGGGTCGCTGGGGCGTCCCTCCCTGCCCTGCCTGTCCTCTAAAGTGACTTTGCGGTCACCTCTGCTATTCTTCCATTCTGTCAACCCATAAAATCCAAATTAGATTGGAGGGTGGTAGTAGTAGTAAAAGCTCCAACCCACAGACAAGTCAGAATTCAGTCCTGCTGCTCTGAGATACAATTTCCCGCCTCTTTTCTCCCCATCCTTCCTCTCCTTTAATTACACTTTCTTTCCAAATTAGGTTTTGCTCAGGCTGAGGTTCAATTTCTTATTGTGTTTTCTGAGTGTGTCCTCACCTGTTTGTTGGTGGTGAATGGGGGCTAGAAGCCTCCTGGGAGGCCGAGGGGTGAGCCTGGAGGTCAAAGGTGTCTCGGGCGGTAGGGGGTTACTCGTGTGCCCCTGGCCACCCAGGACGGAGCTTTTGCAGGAGGGTTTGGAAGAGCCCCGTAGTTCACTATTTAGGGTCCCTAACACATTCCCCAGCGGATTCCAGAAGGTGGTGGCCCTGGGTGCTCTCAGCTCCCTCCTGCCTGTGCCTGCACAGTCACACCGTGGTGAGACGGAATTCCAGAATCCTCCTCAAAATGGCTCTGCTGGTCTAGCAAACTGAGGAGCTAGCTACTTTCTAGAAGTTTCTCTAACCAAAACCAGGAAATTCTTAGCCACATTAGCCCAGCTTCCTTTGCCCTCTTCTATGTGGACGGAGACATTAACATCACTTTTATTTAGGTATTTAGAGACCCATCAGTTTGTCTCTTCATCTTGCGCTTTTGCTTTAAGGATCTTCTAAATACAACTGCAGTGCTTTCCAACTTTCCCTTCTGGGTCCTCTCCCCAACTCTCTAGACGGTGCCTCTTCCCCACACAGCTGCAAACTGCAGGGGTTTTGCGGAGGCGACCACCCCATTTCAGGTCTGTGGGAGCCTTTAAACTATGTCTGAATAGTTCTCCCTGCTGCTCCGTGCACCTGCCGGGCTCATTATGACTTCCAGGTGTCTGCAACATGCTTTCTGGCCCTAGGATGCCTTTTCCTCTTCTCTCTGCTTTGCAAGTTTACCCAGTCCCCGGCGCCCAGTGTAAGGCCCACATTCCCCTGTGTTTTGAATCCCCCTGCTATTTACACAGGGTAGCTACACACCATTGTGTCTCATCTACCCGTGTGTCACTTACCTTCCTAACAAGGTAAGGTGGAAACTTTTGGGGACAGGAGCCCTGCCTTATAACAGGCCCTGTGGTACCTAGGACAAGCCTGGGCACCATATTTTTTTGTTTCACTGAATACTTGCTTGGTTGAAAATGAACCAAATCAGAGGCATGTTGGCTGGACACAAGGAAAAAAGGAACACACATTCTGACCATCCTTGGGGTCACACGGTTGAAGAGCTGCCGCAGAAGGCTCTAGGCTCACTGTGCCTCAGTATCTCTCAAGAATCAAATAGCCAGCTATAGGGATAGTTGCTGTTTAACAGCCTTAAGATCGGGCTGCTGAAGATGCTTCCAGCTCCAGGCCGAGGCAGGCCTTACCCATAGTCATACTTACGTCTGTCACGCGTGTCTCCCGAATGTGCCGAGCCCGTGTTATTTGTGTGTCCTGGAACACAGGGTCAGGCCTCGGAGAAGAGGCTTGGAGACGAGAGGCCTGAGATGTGGCTCAGTTTAGGGAAGGGCTCTCTGGTCATGTTCGGGATTTTTTTTCCTACTCTCCCACCCTTTTACTTTTTCTTTCTTTCTTCTTTTTTTTTTTACTTTGTATTTAATTTTTATTTTTTTTCCTTTATATTTTCAAAGTTATGTTTTCTTTTTGCTACCATTTTCTACTCAGTGCCCCTCTGTGTTCATAAAGATCCCAGCAAGAAACAAACGCCATGCTCTAGAAGGGCAGGTGAAGAGGACCACTGCTGGGGGTGTGGTCGGGTTAAGGGAGGTCAGGAGGATGGCGCAGCACCCGGGCCAGCTGCAGCGGGAAGCCCGAGGCACCCGTGGGCCAGGGGGCGGGAGGGAGGCGCCTAGGAGCAGAGAAGGCTGTGTCCGGGGAGAGACCTGGGTACCAGCGGGCAGGGAGCAGGAATAGAGGGCTCACCTCACTCTCGCTCTGTGGCCTGTGGCTGATGCCTCTCACCGGCCCCCAGGCCAGCAGCTAGAGGCAAAGGAGCTAGCCAGGCAGTTGGTGACACTTGGCCTCCAGGCCATGACACAAGAGCAGGGTGGCCCCAGGGGATAAACAGAAAATGCCCGGTATACCCCAGTGCACCCATCCCACAGCCCGGGACACGAGGCCTGTCGTCCCCGCTTGTGTCAGTGGGAAGGGGGCAGGATGAGCCAAAGGAGAAGAAACCATAACTGCAGCGTGCGGTTGGATGTTTAATGTGACTAGGCCTTCGTGGTTCCTGGGGCTTCCTACAAGGCACCCACACCCCTTCCTCCCGGAGCTGTGGCTGCCCCTGTCTGCTGAGGGACGCTCCCGCCTTCCCTTGGCTGCCAGCATCGGCCACGTCCTGCTTGGCTCCTGCATCTTTGCTCTTAGAGACGCGCCTGCCTCTTAGAGAAGGAAAAGCGTTCTCGCCCGGATACTTGATCCTTGATTGTTGAAGCCAGAAGCTCTAAACGTTTCCTGGTTTCCCAGCTTTTTACCCCCCTGTGGAAGTCCCCATTCGGGCTCTAGAACTTTCAATTCAAAGAGAAGCAGCGGTGTGGTTGTAAGTTGCCACTGGCCATAGTACACCTCGGGGTTCCCCAGGAGTCTTCATTTCTGCCTGTTGGTAGTAGTTGAGACGATTCTTCTCCCCTTTGTCTCATCAGGTGTGTGCGGGTGGATTTGCTCCAGACTCCCGGGGACCGCTCTGCGCCCCGCCTCTCTGCACCCCACCCCCCACCTACACCCTCACCCTGCAGTGCCATCAAATGTGGCCCTTTGGTCTGAGTTTAGTTTTCTGAAGTCTTCAGAGGACTCTAGGATCTGACAGCAACCAGAGCAGCCGTGTGTGCGTGTGTGTGCATGTGTGTGTGTGTGCGTGTGTACATGCACACAGATACAAAATGGGAAGGCACTACACTTCCTCTAAAGCAGAGCCAGATTTATTAGAGAAATATCTGGGGAAGGATCATGCAAATAAATGGATGTTTTGTCTTTCCCCTCTTACATACCACCTACCACACCCCTGACAGCTCGTCACACAGAAGGGGACGGGGGACATACACCGACGGGTAAGAGAGAAACGCCGACCAGCCCACGGCCTTGAGGGGACGAAGTGGCTTCTCTGGCACGTGTAGTTTGCGGAGCTTTGGGCAGCGTGTCCTGGGCTTCATTTAGTGACAGCCCCTTCACAGTTCGTTTTCTGATGGCAGAAGAGGGGAAACGCATGACTGAGGGTTGGAAATCCTTGCTGGCCTCTTTGCTTCGATGAGACATGTGATCAAATATAAATTCGTACCTGATGATCTGTTCGGCGCCAACAGGGCAGAGGTGCGCACTATTTATTAAGAGCCGGACGGGAGAGGGCAGTTGCGTTTACCGCGGCCTCACAGGAGGAAGAGTAGGATGCAGGTCTTCCGCAGGGGTAGTTGGGCAGGGAAGAAGGATCTCTTTATGCCGCGCTTTCCCTTCCCCACCCACTCCCGTCCCCCTCCATGGGTGGGGCTTGTCCAAATGGAGCTTTGAATGTTTTATGAGGCCACCAAGAGCCAGCCAGTGCCAAACGCCAGGCATGAGGGCCCGGGAGGCACTGCAGCCAGGCCAGCCCCCCTCACCCCCGGTCCTCCCTTCCTGAGCACGAGAGACGGGAGGCCAGGCGTAATGTCCCCAAGCTTCCGATGATAAAACTGAAGGGGGACAAGTTGCACAACTAAGACCAAACCACGTGGTGTTATTTTTTAAAAATGGAGCTCAAAAGTATATTATGAACAGAAGAAGAATGGAAGGATGCTGCCCACATCACAAGTGGTGAGTGTCACCCTCTGCTCTGTCCTTGGGAGACCCTGTCCTGACCTCACCTGGGAGCTTCCTGGAGACTCAGTCTCAGACACTGCCCCAGACCTGCTGAAGCGGAATCCACATTGTAGCAAGATCCCCAGCTGATTAGTTTGTTCAAACATTTTCTGTAAGTGGCCGGGTAGTATTTTAGACTTTGTATGGGCCGTATGACCTCTGCTGAGTCTTGTCAATTCTGTCACTGTAGCCCCACAGCAGCCATAGGTACTATGTAAACGAAGGCACACGGCAGCGTTCCAGTGAGACTTCACGTACAAGACAGGTGGTGGCCAGACTCAGCCGTGGTTTGCTGAGCCCTGATCTAATGCATCATGTGGAGCTCTTGGAATCACATCACACTTCCTAAACTCTTTATTTCAGTGAACTACAGATGCAATTAACTGATCCATAATCTATAATCCATAATTCAGCTTGAAATAGGATCAGGGAGGGGGCTGTAGCACGTTCCTAAAACTTACCAGAAAATCTCGCAAAAAAGCTTTACCCGTTAGAAATAAAACTTTGACCCTCAAAGCCTATTTTTATTATGCCATTTCTTTTTACTTTGTTGTCTTGTCATTGAAAAAGTCACGTAACCATGCTACCAAGAAGTTGAAACAGATAAATTTGAAACTTGCCCCCTGGAATCTTGTCGGAAAGGACAGGACACCCAGAGGGACACCCAGAGGGGAGCCGGAGCTGCGTGTCTCGGCAAGGCTACAGGAACTGGGTCATCTGACAAATGATTTCTGGAAGGAGGATGTTCAGCCTGGATAAAGGGACCCTCCGGGCTGACATGAGAGCTGTCTCGAAAATCTTTTAAAAAGTATGTTTCATCGTTTCAGGGCAGAAGCCAGATCAAATAGGCTTAAGTGAAATACAGGTAAATTTGAATCTGTGTGGGAAAGAACTTTCTAGCAGCTGGAGCTGCCCAGCAGTGGAAGCTTCCTTGAAACAAAGCAGGTGCCCACCGCTGGACGTGTCCAGCCAGAGGACCCCTGCCGGAAGTCCCGCTACCACGTGAGAGTCGGACTAGGTACCTTAGGCCAATAATAACAACAACGATAATTATTTCCATTGACAATATCCGCCGGATGTCAGGGCCTGTGCTAAGTACGTTGCATACACTTGCTTACTGAATCCTCCCTAAAACATCAGTGTAGATATTGATACTGCCCTCTCATAGGTAGGGAGAGCCAGGATCAGAGAGGTAAAGTGACTTAATTTAAAGTCACCGCTGCTCAAAGGCAGAGACCGGATTGGAGCTCAGATCTGATGAGCCCACAAGCTCACACTGCCTTTCATTAGAGCCTCTGCTTTTTCTCCCCTGTCAGGTGCTACATGAACCCCTGATCGACGAGGACCCCGTGTTCATTGCCACATGCACAGAGCGGGAGCTGCGCAAGAGGAAAAAGCGGAAATTCAGCCTCTGGGTCCGACAGTGCTCTTCCACTGGCTTCATCATCCAGGTGAGCCCTGGGCCCAGGGAAGACAGTCAGAGGACCTCGGGCTGAGTCCTTGGCCCTCTGAGCAGCCGTGGCAGACGTGGACCACAAGTGTGGTCCGGAGTGTGGCACCCAGGTGACACCTCTCTGCCCGAGCTGGTTTTTCACGAGTGCTGCTCAGGGACACCTGCTCCCATGGGACAGGCAGGCCGGCACTGTGGTGACAGCCGACCCCACCCACTGCTCCTGCTTGGCAGCCGGGGACCAAAGGTGCAGGGTTTCTGCTCTTCCTTCTTCCCTGAGCCAGAGAAGGAGACGCAGGAAGAGCGTCTGCTCACCTCATCGGAGCACAGCAGGGGCGTGACGCTCCAGGTTTACCTGCCCTCGCTGGCGCCGTCCCAGCAGCCCCTGCGGCTCTGCTCGTGCGTAGGCTTTGGGGAGTTGCCAGAATGGGGTTCGCTCACTCCTGGATGTACAGCCTGGGCCCTGGCATCCTTCGGGGGCCTCTGCCACTTCCGTGGCGTCCTTTGCCGTGTATCCGTAGGGTACAAGTGTGTCAGTCCATTTTATGTAAGCCCTCCCCAGGCACGTGCTTTCATTGTTTCAGTGAATATTAACGGTGAGTAGCTGGAAATCATGCCTGTTCCCTGACAAGGCCACACGTCTCTCTCTCAGTACGGGTCCTTTCCCTCTTTTATAAAACCGATAAAACCCCCATCTATGAGAAGCTTGGATTGGCATCTCGAAGTTTCCTTTTACTTCTAAGGCTCTGCAGTTCTAGGCAGCTTTGCGGTGGATGAGGGTTTGTTTTTAGAAGCTAGAATTGAAGCCGGCAGCTCCCAGTCACAGCAGGGAAGGGGGCAGTTAGTTCCCCTCCAGTGACAGGGCTGAGCAGAGCTCTCTCAGCCTCCCCTTCCCATCTGTCTGCTCCTGGGCGCCCAGCAGGGAAGGGACATCTCTGCCTGTGAGGAGCCACGTGGCCTGGGCACGGCTGTCTTTTTAGTGTCATGCCCCTTCTCTCGGTTCTCCGGCTGCTGCTCCTGGTTTGACAGCTTTGGAGGGCCCGCAGCCGGGGCGGGTGCAGCCGTCACACCCCGAGCTCTCACATCTCCGGCTCCCCCCTTCGCACCGCAGCCTGGGGAGGTGCCAGAGTCGGCGGCATTCAGCCCCATCTCCCACGGAAGGCAGCTTAGGCTCGCAGAGGTTGCCTGCAACATAGCGAGACCCTGACTCATAAAAAGAAAATTAAATAATTTTCAAAAGAACTCCAAAATATTTCAATTTCAATATTTTTATAGATTTAATGCTCTTGAATTCATTTGAAGTGGAATCTTAGAATCAGCACTTAATGCTGCTTCTCCCCGGGGCCCCGTTGCCTCTTCCTCCTCGGCCCCCCGAGTGCATCTGCAGCTCCTGCCACTGCTTCCTGGTGGACATGGCCATCCCCCCCCCATTGCTCCAGATCTTGGTGTCCTTCTGTAGGAACTGGAGGGATGGGATTAGGTACCCAGAGAGGTCCCTGCTGTTGCAGGAGTCCGTGGCTCTCTTCGTAAGTGTCACACTGGAGTTGCATACACAAGGATGTTTTCACGAGTGTAGTTTCTCAAATACATTGAGCTCTTCTGAAGGACTTTCCACTGGGGAAGTGCAGCCACCGGCTGGCTGTGTCCATGGCCCTTTGCCGTTCCACTGTGCTGCTCACTGGTGGCAGCGTCTGCCCCACCCCTCCCAGTGCGGAGATTGCCCGTATGTTGTGCCTCGGCCGCGTGATGCAGGGGTGCATGAAGGTTGAGGGGTCACCTGTATGATTATCCTTCGGTTTCACGACCTTGGCCCTGAGAAGATGCCCAGGGAACATCATCTGAGTTCTGAAAACCCAAGAGCTTAGGAAAAAGATATTTTGTGGTTGTTTGGTATGTGCCATAACTGACCCAGGGGACTACCATACGGTCTGCACAACTGACCAGATAACTTTCTCCCAGTTACTCTCCGTTGCAGACCAGGAATGGGGTGGTAGTGAGTTTCAGGAGGGACCAAGGTCTTGCTTCGGCTTTGTAGCTCCATCCTGCCAAGACTCTAAACCTTTGACTGGCCCGACTGTGTTCTTGTGACGTAGGGCCAGAGTGACGATTAGCTCCACATGGAAGATTCTAGATCAAGGGGTAAGGGAGAAAAAGAAATTCCAAATTGGTTGGTGGTCCAAGAAAAGGTCAGCAGGAAAGTTGAGCAGGAGCTCAGTACAGCCTGTTCGTCTTACCTACTGCTCAGATGGGGGTGAATTTATCCCACCAAGGCATGTGGGAGAGGAAACAGCAAACTGACAGCTGGACAGAGAGAATGATGATGATGGTGTTCAGGAGAACTCCAGTATAGTAGCCGGGCACAGTGACCCACACCTGTAGTCCCAGCTACTCAGGAGGCTAAGGCTTGAGCCCAGGAGTTCGAGACCAGTCTGGGCAACACAGCGAGACCCTGTCTCATTTAAAAAGAAATTTAGAAAAGAAGAACTCCAGTATATTTCGATATTTGTATATGTTTAATGCTCTTGAATTCGTGTCAAGGGAAATCTTAGAATCAGATGAAAGTGGCTCAAAATCTTATGTGATTTAACTAAGAGAACATAGGGAGGTATGTGGTCAGATGGACGTGGGGGGAAGAGATTAACTGTTATTCTAAAAATTAAAGAGGTTAATGTCTTCCATTTCTGAGAATGCAAGAAGTAAGGAGTAAGACGTTTCAAGGAGAAAAGTAATCAGATGAGAGGCTTGGGAGCTGCAGAGCGGGAGTCAGATGGTCCCATAAATACATTCCAGTCGGGAAAGTGGCACTGCCTCATCTGTCCCTTGCCAAGTCTCCTTCCAGCAATCCCTTAACAGCAGCACCGGCTCGGCTTCAGATTGGTGACCTCGTCTCTCACTGCAGGGCTCTCCTGCAGACTGCTTCCCTTAAAAGTCCTTGGGTCCAAAACGTGTATCCTGCTGCTTCACCATGCACCAAACTCTCGAAAATGGATCAAAAATGTGCACAGATGCCAACCTGTGCCCAAGGCCCATGGGAGCTATCAGACGAGGCCGTGCACGCTACTCCGTGAAGTGGAATACTACTGGTATACTACTGTGTAGGACCAGGCCTCGGGGCTTTGACAGTCTGGTCAACTTGATATGAGGAGTGGTGGGGACTGGTGTATGGATTGTATATTGTGGGGAATATCCTGTCCTCAAGGAACATGGCTTTTTTTTTTGGTAATAAAATATATATAACATAAAATTTTCTATTTTAACTATTAAGTGTACAATTCAGTGGCATAAGTACATCATTCACATTGTTGTGCAGCCATCACCTCCATCCATCTCCAGAATGTCTTCATCATCCCCCCTCCTGCCCCGGCAGATGGGAACGTACCCCTCAGCTGGGGGGTGACACACTAACACCTGGCAACAGTCAGTGTCCCAGGAATGAAGGTGCCTGCTAGAGATGCTGGCCGTGTGGCGGGAGCTCAGAGGAGGGGCTGCCCAGAGCCTTGGTCTAGTTGGACGCTCTGTGCTTGTCTCATTTCCCCCGGGTCAGGTTGGCCACATTTCCAGCTGCTCTGAGTGTCGTGCCCACGGGGCTCCCAGGGAGGACCGATGAGTGGCACAGATGGGGTGTGTGCTCCCCAGCCCCAGGCCCCGTTCTGTCCTTGTGCGTTCCATGCAGGAGCAGCGCAGACGGTCACGGTCCCATGTAGTGTAGCCCCACCTGCCTTAAACACCCCGGCCCCCTTGCCTGGGCCTATAGTCGCGCAGACTCACCAGGCGGCACCGCGCTGGGGGGTGCGTGCAGGTTGCTGGTCCTCCTGGTCGGTGGCTGGGCGGGAGCCGTGGCGCACGGCCACTGCCAGCACTGCAGGAGAGAATCGCACCACGTACTGCCAGCCAAGGGGGAAAAGAAGTCAAAATTCAAAAAAGTACTGTTTCTACTAAATGCATGTCACTTTTACACTGTCGTGAAGTCAAAAAATTGTAAGTCAACCATCATCAAGTCGGTGACCGTTGGTATTTGTTCTGTGTCACAGGCCGGCTCAGAGCTGACCCCGACCCCAACACACCCACCAGCCCTTTGCCCTATTTGCAGAGAGGGATGAGCAGGGGAGCTAGCCAAGGTTCCACTCCGGTCCCCTCATCTGCGGCTCCCCTGCAAGCAGAAGAGGACTAAAAGGAGAGATTTATACAAAGGACGAAACGTCCAGTGTTGGGGAAAGGTCACGGAATTGGGCAATTGGTATTCCTTAGTTCGAGGTGTCAAGGTTGCTCATCCTAGAAGCCTTGTGACCTTTCTGTGGGCCAAACGGGGACCGTCTGCTGTTCAGGCTCTACAATGTCAAGAAGGTGGAGAAGGCAGTGGGAAAAATTGGCCAACGGGTTAGTTGGCATTCTATTGACCTTCAGTGATTAACAGAACCCTGCGATTCTCTGGGGGAGAAGAAAAAGGTCCCCTAATTTATAAAAATGGTCTAAAAGAGCAGGTTTCTCCTGTTGGATTGTGCTGGGCTAGGCGCCTGTCTCTGCAACATGAGACCTAGGGTTTCCGGCGAGGGCCGGCAGGTGGGCGGCACTGAGAAGGAGCTGGCGGAGGAACAGTGGCCAGGGAAGCGCCCAGAGGTGACCTGTCGTCTGAGGGTTGGTGGCTGTTGTGCCCTGGAGGGGCAGAGCTGTTCTGGATGACACGCCTGCTCGGTGGAGGAGGGGCTCTGGGTTCACTGTCTGAATTGACATGCTGTGGAGTGAGTGGGCTTCACAAGGGAGAACTAGAGATGGAAACTCAGCAAGGGACCCCGGCTTCCTGCCCGCTGCGGGCATCATGGACGGGCAGTGAGGGGTGCTCTGAAGGAGGTCCACGCACCCCGTGTTGCCAAACTAGCTGATCTGGGAGCCCCTCTGCATTCCTCTCTGCAGCCTGGTCTGTGGATCTTGCCAGCGTCTGGCGTTCGGGAAAGGGTGGTTTGCAGAGCTCTGCCGTGTGCCAGGCGCCGCGCTTGCTTAAGC